TTGAGCTACAAACCCCTTGCACACGTGATATAATTAAGTTACGAATCGAAAGTTGCATTGTACTTAATCAACAGCTCTGGTTCTAGATAGTATTGGAAAAAAAAATTATGAAAATTATTACATGTTACAAAAATCGATAAGGAAAAAAAATGTTGTATGTCTTTTTTTTTCTCTGATGAAAACAAAAACAGAAGACATTGCAAGTAAGAGCCAAAACGTTTTTCTGATTTCAGGGTTTCTTTACAAATGTAGACCATTTCCATGTACAATTTTCTTTTCTTGGTACATTAATATTCAATTCAGCCCAATATAATTTTCTTTCCCAGCCACAATAATTAATTAACCCTTGCCTAGCTAAGAACTTAATTAGATCCTGACGAAGAACACACTGAGCTCAGGCCCATTGTTCCCATCAGGATTCATCATGTAATATGTCTCTGAGTCCCTCGACCCTACCACACGTTCGAACTGTGCTCGCATGTACATTAAATCACCATCTGGCAACTCTGTTTCATTTGGTAAAACCCCAGCTCCCATGGACACTGCATGTAAAATCAATTTCATTTAATAATTCGCAGCAGAAAAACCAAGAACTAGCCAGCATTCTTTGTATGTGGTTCAAACAATTCGGCAAAGTTTATGTCTTATCCCCGGGCCTCTTTTCGCATTCTAGTGCTATCCGGACAAGCCCCATTCCCATATCTTGAAGGAGCTTTCCTGTTTGTATCCCGAGCTCAAGGACAAGGATGGGAAGGCATCTAGGGCTTTCCTGGATGACCAGGTTAATCCTAGCTTTTCGATACCCAAATAGGGTTCCTGTCATCCGCGTCCCCCCGTGGATGTGTGTGTGTCCTTCCCCCATGCGGCTCCCGTGGAGCGAAACGGGGATCTTGCATGAGGGCGATATGATTGGAAATGACCGGAAAACTGCACGAAAACGCCGGAAGAGTTTTGAAGGTTTTGATGGGCTTTTTTTGGATGATGGTTGGAGGGAGACAGGCGACGGTGTATGCGTCGTCGGCGGTGTAGTTGGTTTGAGGTTTTGAGATGCGGTTGGTAGCGGTGGTGGCCGTGGCTGCGTTTGTGGTGCCGCCATATGAAAATTTGGTGGCAAAAGGAGGGTGGCTTAATTGCTGAGGCCGGCAACGCTTGTCAGGACTTCTTGGTGAGAGCTTGGTTGTGGGGATGAGGGTGTATATGAAGAGCAATCTAAGTTTGTGGTGCGCACGTTGGAACTGTTGACTAATTTAATGGGAATTAAGGATATGAGAATGTTTTTTTCTCCCCTTGTTTATAGTGGCTTATGGTTAGGCTTTTAGTTTGGTGGTTTAGCTAAAGATAGATAATTATCTAGCTGTGGTCAGCTTTATTTATTTATTTTTTTTTTCTTTCTTCTCTTGAGTTAGCTTTAGCTACGAGCTTCTACATTATTCTAGAATATTTTCAAAGCTACTTAGCCTCACTTGAGGCTTTATTGTTGCCTTGCTTACCGGATGAGATGGCTAGAGGGACTTGAGATTGAGAGTTGTTATTTAACGACAGGTGGAAACTTTTGCCACTAGAAATGAAGTAGTAGGGCTAGAAATAAGCGAAGTATCAGTAACAGAATTAAACTGGTTGCAAAATTTCGGGATGAAAATAAATTAAGTACAGTTTTATAATGTAATCTCACTATAAAAATGTCTAACAAATTGTGTATGAACTTGAAAAATACCTTATAATTTGGCGATTTATGTCGTTAATCCCGACCAATGATTTACCAATAACTCACATGTAAATAACTTACTCTAGCATTTAAATATATAAATCTAATTCGAACGATTGTAAATCAAGTGGGAACTGGTTTGAGTAATGCAACACATGCACCATAGATTAATGCAAATTGTAAAACAAATGGTCAATACCATTGTTTTTTTTTTTCTCTTTAAATAAATTAAATGTAAGAGAAAAAAAAAACTTTCATTTTGACAAAACATGTACAATATTTCCTTTATAAATTGTCAAGCTACTTAGCCTCACTTGAGGCTTTATTGTTGCCTTGCTTACCGGATGAGATGGCTAGAGGGACTTGAGATTGAGAGTTGTTATTTAACGACAGGTGGAAACTTTTGCCACTAGAAATGAAGTAGTAGGGCTAGAAATAAGCGAAGTATCAGTAACAGAATTAAACTGGTTGCAAAATTTCGGGATGAAAATAAATGAAGTACAGTTTAATTATAATGTAATCCCGACCAATGATTTACCAATAACTCACATGTAAATAACTTACACTAGCATTTAAATATATAAATCTAATTCGAACGATTGTAAATCAAGTGGGAACTGGTTTGAGTAATGCAACATTGCACAATAAATTAATGCAAATTGTAAAACAAATGGTCAATACCATTGTTTTTTTCTCTTTAAATAAATTAAATGTAAGAGAAGAAGAAAAAACTTTGATTTTGACAAAACATGTACAATATTTCCCTTTATTTCTCCTTTAATTTTAAAAAGTATCAGTAACAGAATTAAACTGGTTGCAAAATTTCGGGATGAAAATAAATTAAGTACAGTTTTATAATGTAATCTCACTATAAAAATGTCTAACAAATTGTGTATGAACTTGAAAAATACCTTATAATTTGGCGATTTATGTCGTTAATCCCGACCAATGATTTACCAATAACTCACATGTAAATAACTTACTCTAGCATTTAAATATATAAATCTAATTCGAACGATTGTAAATCAAGTGGGAACTGGTTTGAGTAATGCAACACATGCACCATAGATTAATGCAAATTGTAAAACAAATGGTCAATACCATTGTTTTTTTTTTTCTCTTTAAATAAATTAAATGTAAGAGAAAAAAAAAACTTTCATTTTGACAAAACATGTACAATATTTCCTTTATAAATTGTCACACAATTTATAAAAGTGACTTAGTGACTTGAAAAATGTTTCCAACTAACCAGCCGTCCATGCCAGTTGACTTTTGATCTTGCAAATTGACTGTGAACATATTTCACTTAATTTTCTTTTTCATACGTTTAAATCAAATGGGATCATATAGTGCCACAAGAAATCTCCCAATTGTTTAATGTTATTTTTGCTATCAAGTGTATATTAAAATCTTTTAATTAATTAATATGTTATAATAAGTAAATATTTATTGATATTATGCTTTAAAAGTGAGAAATACCAACTCTTGTCCTCCACCCAACTGTATTCTAGTATAATACAATAGTTTCTCGGAGGCTTACATCATACACATACACAAGGTTCCAAAGGGGAAAAATATGGGGGGTGAGATTAATGGCGGACTCATGAATTTTTATAGGGATAGGCTAAATTTTTTTATTTATTTATAGAAGATATATTATAAGCTTTTTTTTCTTTTGAAATGCAAATAAAATTTTATAAATCAAACAAGGCCACATTACGAGCAAATATAAGACAAAGTACAAAATATAAATAAATATCAAATCAAACAGATTGTTCAACTACTTGAGAACCAAGTTGAGTAAGTTCCTCAAGAATTGAAGTATCAACATCAGATGTAGAAGGTGTATCCTTGTTATCGTTACCACTTTTTTTTTTTAAATGAATAAATAGTTTTTCCTCTCTTTGCCAGTCTATTATCATCATGTGACATGATATCCTAACAAGAAATACTAGACATCAAAAATCATATATGCTAATTAATAATTCAAGTTGCAAAAATAAAACATATATGCTATTTCTTCTAGGCTCTGAAGGTTCAAATATGGTGTTTTGGGTGGCTAGAAGAAAAATTCTGATGTTTGCTTCTAATCAAATTTATATAGATTATGGATTGCATGTTTACTATTTCCTATATGCTTCAAGAGTGGGTTTATCTCTACACAGAGAGCTGGACTTATTTTAAATAGAGGGCTGGACTACTATTTACTTTACCTAAATTTGGTTTATACCACTAAACCTACGAACGAAGTCAGCACTGAGCTGGAGCCCACTCCTGTCCGAGTGTAATTGGGTGAGATCACTCGAGGGTAGGCAGGTAGTCTTAGTACTAACACAAAACGAACGAGGAACTTCAAACAAAAGAAAAACCTTTTTTTTTTCTTTTGAAATCAGGAAAGTCAATGTTTGAATTGAAGTAAGCAAATTCCATTATATAGAAACGAAAAGATAAAGGTGAAGAAAACGTCCTCTAATTGATTTTAGAATCATTTGTGCCCATGTCGACATGGGGGCCTGAAGTCAATGTCGACAAAATTCGAAGATGTCCTGCTTCCTATTTTGACTACAAACCTAAATTTAGCTTATACCACTGAGCCTACAAACAAAATCAGCACTGAGCTGGAGCTCACTCCTGTCCAAGTGTAATTGGGTGAGATCACTCGAGGGTAGGCAGGTAGTCTTAGTACTAACACAAAGCGAACGAGGAACTTCAAACAAAAGAAAAACCTTTTTTTTTTCTTTCGAAATCAGGAAAGTCAATGTTTGAATTGAAGTAAGCAAATTCCATTATATAGAAACGAAAAGATAGAGGTGAAGAAAACGTCCTCTAATTGACTTTAGAATCATTTGTGCCCATATCGACATGGGGGC